TCCATCATCTCATACAGTTACAATATTAACAACTTTCCTATATATTATATATCAGTGTTAATTATAGCCATCATGTTGTACCTTCTATCCCTAGAACTTATTTATCTTATAACTGGAAGTTTGTACCTTTTAACCAGCTTCCTCCAACTCTTCCTTGCCCCATCCCCCATCTCTGGTAACCACAAATCTGATCTCTTTTTCTATGAGTTCATGTTTGTTTGTTTTGTTTAGATTCCACAATTAAGTGAAATCATACAGTACCTGTCTTTCTCTATCTGGTCTATTTCCCTTAGCATAATGCCTTTAAGGTTCATCCATGCTGTTGCAAGTGTAGGATTTCTTAAGGCTGAATAACATTCTGTTATATATACATTCCACAACTTCTTTATCCATTCATCCACTGATTGACACTTAGGTTGTTTCCATGTCTTGCCTATTGTAAATAATGCCGCTATGAATGTGGGAGTACAGATATCTTTTAGAGATAGTGTTTTCGTTTCCTTTAGATATATTCCAAGAATTGGAATTGCTAGGTCATATAGTAGTTGTATTGTTAATTTTTGAGGAAGTTCCACACTGCTTTCCATAGTGGCTGTATCAGTTTACAATCCCACCAATAGCGCACAAGAGTTCCCTCTTCCCCACATCCATTCTAGCATTTGTACTCTCTAGTCTTTTTGATGAGGGCCATTCTAACAGGTGTGACAGTGATAGCTCATTGTTGTTTTAATTTGCATTTCCCTAATGACTAGTGATTTTGAGCATCTTTTCATGTACCTGTTGAGCTTTCATACATCTTCTTTAAAAAAATATCTTTTCCAGTCCCTTGCCCACTTTTTATCTGGATTATTTGTGGGGTGTTTGCTATTGAGTTGTATGAGTTTTTCATGTATTTTGAATATTATCCCCTTATCAAATATATGGTTTGCAAATATCTTCCCATTCCTTAGGTTGTCTTTTCACTTTGTTCATGCTTACTTTTGCTGTGCAGAAGCTTTTAGTTTGATGTCATTCCACTGGTTTTTCATTTTGTTCCTTATGCTTTGGATGTGATTTCCAAAAATCATTACCAAGATCTGTGTCAAAGAGTTTTTTCCCCTGTTTTTTGTCCAGGAATTTCATGGTTTCAGGTCTTACATTTCAGTATCTAATCTACTTTGAGTTAATTTCTGTGTATGGTGTAACATAGGGGTCAAGTTCATTCTTTTGCATGTGAATATCTAATTTTTCCAGAACCATTTATTGAAGAGACTGTCTTTTCCTCATTGAGTATTCTTGGCTCCCTTGTCAAATATTAGTTAACTGTATATGCTTGCATTTATTTCTGGACACTCAATTCTGTTCCATTGGTCTATTTGTCTGTTTTGTGGTTTTTTTAAGATTTTATTTTTTTCCTTTTTCTCCCCAAAGCCCCCGGTACATAGTTGTATATTCTTCGTTGTGGGTTCTTCTAGTTGTGGCATGTGGGATGCCACCTCAGCGTGGTTTGATGAGCAGTGCCATGTCTGCGCCCACGTCTGCGAACCAACAAAACACTGGGCCGCCTGCAGCGGAGTGCATGAACTTAACCACTCGGCCACCGGGCCAGCCCCGAATATTTGTCTGTTTTTATGCCAGTCATACTGTTTTAATATCTAGACCTTTATAGTATAGCTTGAAATCAGGAAATGGAATGTCTCTTGCTTTGCTCTTCTTTCTCAAGATTTCTTTGGCTGTTTGGGGTCTTTTGTGGTTTCATAAATATTTTAGGACTGTTTTTTTTCTATTTCTGTAAAAAATGCATTGGAAACTTGATAGGGATTGTGTTGAATCTAGAGATAGCTTTTGATAGTATGGACATTTTAACAATATTAATTCTTTCAATCCATGATCATGGGATACTTTTCCACTTATTTTTGTCTTCTTTGATTTCTTTCAGGAATGTCTTGTAGATTTCAGAGTAGAGATCTTTCACCTCTTGGTTAAGTTTATTTCTAGGTATCTTACTGGTTTTGAAACTATTGTAAAAGGGATCAATTTCTTTATTTCTTTTTCAGATAATTTCTTGATCTTGTAGGCAGCATATCATTGGAACTGGTGTGGTGGGAGATGAACTCCTTTAGCTTTTGCTTGTCTAGGAAACTTTTTATCTCTCCTTCAATTCTAAATGATAATCTTACCAGGTAGAGTACTCCTGGTTGGAAGTTTTTCCTTTCAGCACTTTGAATATGTCATGCCACCCCCCTCTGGCCTGCAAAATTTCTGCTAAAAAATCAGCTACTAGTCTTATGGGGGTTCCCTTAAATGTAACTAGTTGTTTTGCTCTCTAAGAATCTGTCTCTATCTTTAACTTCTGACATTATAATTATGTGTCTTGGTGTGTATCTATCTAGGTTCATCTCATTTGGGATTCTGTGTTTCCTGCACCTGAATGTTTATCTCCTTCCCCATTTTAGGAAGGTTTCAGCCATCATTTCTTTAAATAAGTTTTCTGCTCCTTTCTCTCTCTTCTCCTCCTGGGACGCCTATAATGTGTATGTTAGCATGCTTGATGTTGTCCTACAGGTCCCTTAAGCTATCCTCATTTTTTAAAATTCTTGGTTCTTTTTGCTGTTCCATTTGTGCAATTTCTACTACCTTGTCTTCCCAGTCACTGATCCATTCTTCTATATCATCTAGTCTGCTATTGATTACCTCTAGTGTATTTTTCAATATCATCTAGTCTGCTATTGATTACCTCTAGTGTATTTTTCAGTTCAGTTATTGCATTCCCCAGCTCTGTGAGTTCTGACTGGTGCTTTCTTACATTTTCTCTTTGTTGAACTTCTTGCTGTGTTCATTCATTCTTCTCCTGAGTTCAGTGACTATTTTTGTGACCATTACTTTGAATTATTTATCAGGCAAATTACTTATCTCCATTTCATTAAGGTTTTTTTCTGAGGTTTTTCTTATTGCCACATTTGGAACATGTTTTTCTATTTCCTCACTTTGCTTGACTCCTTGTGTTTGTTTCTGTGTATTATGCCAAACAGCTATCTCTTCTATCCCAAAGGAGTGGTCCTATGTAAGAGATGAACCTTATCATTTGACCTTGCCCTAGTTCTTGGTTGTCTCTCAAACTGTCTCTTGGATTGTTTCCAACCTGTCCTGAAATGCAACCTCCATAGAGACCTGAGCCTAGCACTCAAGGGGTATCCACTGTATGGGCTGCACATGCCATTGGCTCTGTTAGAGCCATGCAAGTAGTGCAGTGGATTGGGAGGTTGCTCGCCCTCCAAGTCCATTGGGGCCATGTACGCAATCTGGGGAGACAGGGGCCACACACTGGGCGTGTGGGGCTGTCTACTTGCCATTCTTAGTAGGTTAAAGTGGGAGTGCAAAAACGGCACTACCAGTGCCAGCAAGGTAGAGAGGGAGCCTATAAACATGGTATCTGACAGTGTTCCTTCCTTGGATTGAGTCCCAACACACTTCTGCTCTTTTGGAAGATGCTTTAAGTTTAGCAGATGTATCTACTTCACAAATGGTCTAGTCTCTTTTAAAACTACTGTTTTTTGCACTGGGACCTAGGGTGAGTGGGTCTATGTATGAGGCCTTTAAGAGGGGGATCTTCACTTCCTACAGCCCTATGGTTCTCCTGAATGTAACCTCTTTTGGTTTTCAAAGTCAGACATTTGGGGGCTCTTCTCTCCTGTGCAGGACCCAAAGGTTGGGGTGCCTGGTGTGGGGAACAAACCCCTTACCCCTCAGGGAAAAGCTTCACTGATTGATTGATTGATTGAGATTTCTCCCAATTGTGGGTTGCTGCATTGGGGTGGGGTTTTTGGTGAGAGAGTGTTTCTATCTCTGCTACCCATCCTGATGTGGCCCTTTTATCCTTTGTCGTGGAGCAGGTGTTCAGCTAGTTCTCAGGTGGTTTTAGAGGGAATTGTTCCATACATAGCTACATATTTCTTGTGTCCACGAGAGGAGGTGAGTTTAAGATCTTCCTATGTCACTGTCTTGAACCACTTCCTAGCCCTAAACTTTTTCTGAAGATGGAGGTTTTTAAGAGGAGTCCTTTATTATTTGGTTGAAATAGAAGTAAATATTCCTCAGGCAATTACAAAGAAAGCTGAGTTGTTACTGGGCCACAAAAACAATTTCCCTGAGATGTTATAATTACAAGGCCCATTCTACATCTTTTGATAAGATAAGCAAAAGTTTAAGTAATTACTGATAGGTAAGGACTTACTATTGCCATTTGTTAACTGTTTTCTAGGTCTATTGTTCCTTGTTTCTTATCCTACTGTCTTTTTGTGTGTTTTAATGACTTTTGATATCAGTATGCTTTGAACCTATTTGTCATGTTCTTTTGCGTGACTGCTACAGGTTTTTCCCTTGTCGTTACTATGAGGCTTACATAAAATATCTTAGAATTGTAGCACACTAGTTTAAACTAATAACAACTTAACTTCAATAGAATTCCTAAACTTTATACTTTTACTTCTCCCCCTCACCCCACATTTTAGGTTATTAGTGTTACAATTTACATGTTTGTAAATATTTTTAAATAATAACAGACTATTTCAGTTATGGTTATTTTTACTATGGTTATTTTTATGGTTAACTTTTAAACTAGAATTCTAAGTAATTATGCACCACCATTACTGTATTACAGAATCTAACTTTGGATATACAGTCATGCACCACATAATGTTTCAGTCTGTGATGGACCACATATACAATGGTGGTCTGATTAGTACCATATAGCCTAGGTGTTCAGTAGGGTTTACCATTTAGCTTTGTGTAAGTACTGTAGAGAAGGAAGAAATTTTTCTCTACTCTTATAAGTTCTTCTGGCTGGCCTAAGAATTAAATTGACATGATGCAGATTAACAGGAGAGAAACAAACAAAAGTTTAATAACATGTATACACAGGAAAAACTCAGGAAAACTGAGTAACTCACAAAAATGGCCAAAGCCCTCACCTTAAATACCATCCTCAGCTAAAGGCAAAATAAAATATTGGGGGTGGGGAGAGCCAGGGACTTCAATGGGAAGGAAGGCAATTCACAGGTTGGTGAAAAGGAGCAAACATTTAAAAAACAAGTCTTTGGCCACACATAAACCGAAGAACATATCTGGCAGCCCAACAAACAGGCTTTTCTAGGTTTCTCTCTGTCTACCACCTAATTTACGTTATGTTAAGGTGATAGCTTGCTTCATGAGACAAATTTTTTTATCTGAATTCTTTTAGGCAGTTAAGGGGTTAGTAACAAGAAAAGAATTGAGTCTTTTGTTTCTTAAAAATAAACAGGCTAAAATAATCCTCCTGTTGAAGAAATATGTCTTTGGGTGACAAATTCTGTTCCCCTTCAGTACACTCTATGATGTTCACACAAGGACGAAATTGCCTAGCAACATATTTCTCAGAATGTGCCCCTATTGTGAAGTGGCATCTACAACTAGCAGTGAGTTTTATGCTACCATTTAATGTTTTTATGATGTTAATTAGTGTCCTTTTAATTCCACTCAAAGAACTTCCTCTGGCATTTCTTGTAAGGTAGGTCTAGTGGAAATGAACTCCCTCAGCTTTTGTTTGTTCGGGAAAGTCTTTATCCTTCCTTCATTTCTTAAGTCTGCTTTGCCAGGTACAGAATTCTTGATTGAAAATGTTTTTTCTTTGAATATGTCACCTCATTCTCACCTGGCCTGAAAAGTTTCTGTTGAAAAATATACGAATTGTCTTATTGGGTTCTCTTGTATGTAACTTCTCTTTTTTCTCTTGCTGCTTTAAAAATTCTTTGTCTTTGACTTTTGACAATTTAATTTTGATGTGTCTTGGTGTACTCCTATTCAGGTTCAAAGCACTTGGGGTCCTTTGGACCTCAGGGATGTAGATGTCCATTTCTTTTCCCAGGTTCAAGAAGTTTTCAGCCATTGTTGCTTTAAATCTACTTCCTGTCCCTTTTTCTCTTCCGGAATTCCCATAATGCAAATATTGTTTCTTTCCTTTGTGTTCCATAAGTCTCTTAGGCTTCTTTCACTCTTTTTCATTCTTTTTTCTTTTTGCTCCTCTGACTGGATAATTTCAAATGCTTTATCCTCCAGGTTGCTGATTCTTTCTTCTGCATGGTCAAGTCTGATTTTGAAACTCTCTATTGAATTCTTCAGCTCAGTTCTTGTATTTTCCAACTCTAGTATTTCTTTGTTTAGATTTTTTTGATGGTTTCCATTTATTATTGGAATTTCTTATTTTGTTCATGCATTGTCTTCCTAATTTTGTTTGGTTGTCCGTCTGTGTGTTCTTGTAGTTCCCAAAACTTCCTTAAGAGGATTATTCTGAATATATTGTCTGACAGTTCATAGATCTCCATTTCTTTAGGGTCAGTTAATGGAGCTCTATTAGTTTCCTTTGGTGGTGTCATATTTACCTGATTTTTCATGATCTTTGATTCCTTATATTGGTATCTATGTATTTCTGTAAGTGATCACCTCTTTCAGACTTTGTAGGTTCACTTTGACTGACAGTTCTTCACTCATCAGCTCAGTTTTGGTTTCTGGGTGTGTGTGCTGGTAGTGTGCTTGGATAGGTGGGGCTTGCTATTATGGTCTCTTTTTGGGTGAGGCAACTGTTTGGGCTCTGAGGTTGGGGATGTGGGTGTGTGCCATTCGCTGAGGACAGTTGGATAAGACCACTGGATTGGTTCCCTACCCAATTAAGACTGTGGGATGAGCTCCACCATTGCCTGGATTCTCTGGGCAGACATACTAGGTGGTCAGGACTGAGTCTCTATTCAGTAGTAGATGTGGGTATGAATTAGCTTCCTTGCGCTGGGAGTGCAGTGGGACAGGACCCAGGGCCTGTAAGGTTTTTCTTGTGGGGACCCAAATTAGGCAAGATTGTGTGCTGAATGTCCTGCTCAGATGAGGCCAGTGGTTTTGCTGTTCATACAGGAAAAGCCATGAGCTGTGCTCTCTGTTTAAGTGCCACTGTAAGCAGGGCCATTGGATGCGCTATGAAGCTTACCATGTGTTCAGTTAGGTTCCCCAGTTGGGCAGGCTGAAGGCTGTATTTAGCAATGAGCAGGGATAGGAGTTAGTTTCCCTGCCTGCGTGCAGGGGGAGAAGCAACTCTTAAGCCAGTAAAGCACTTTGTTGTCTTAACTCAAACTGAACCATGCACCAAGTTCCCTGGCCAAACAAGGCTACTGGCTTGGCTCTGCCTGCTTATTCTTTGGGTCTAGTGTTGCTGGCTTATGCAGCTTCCAGGTATTCTCACCAGACCTTCCAATCAGATGGGGTGGGGAGGCAATTGCCACAGTGGGTGGGGCTATGTCACAGTTTCTTTGCCTAGGTAGGATGGGGAGGGGCCGCTTCAGGCCTCCCCCAACTTCTTCCCAAGCAGGCTTCAGTGGGGAGGGTTCAGAGCTACCTTCAGCCTTAGCTATTAATTAATCCCCCTGCCTGGTTTTATCAGGGGAATGCTCCCTGACTGATACTGACTTTGCTCTGGAGGTGATTAGCTCCACCTGCCTGCCTCTTGGCTCAGGCTTTGCTTATTACACAGTTTTCAGGTGTTCTCACCAGCCCTTCTGGTCAGAAGGGGCCTGGGAGTCATAGTGAATGGGCTATATTTCAGCTTTCTTGGCTGGGTGGGATAGGGAGGGGCCACACCAGGCAATTTCCAATTTTTTTCAAGCAGGTTTTCTGATTGGAAGGGGCCAGGAGCTACCCTCAGCTTTAGCTATAAATTAATCCTCCTGCCTGGATATAGTAGGGGAACCCTCCAGGGTTTTGTCTGGGAGCAATCAGCTCTGCCTACCTACCTCTCAGCTCAAGCATTGCTGGTTACACATCTACCTGGTGCTCTCACCAGTGCCTCTGGCCAAGATAGAGCTGGGAGACAATCTCCCCAGTGGGTGCTGCTATGAATAGCTCCTTGCCGGGGTATGGGAAACAGGCAAAACTCCTCATTTTAGGATCCCAATCAGACAGATCTCTACCCCAATGAGTTCTCTGGTCAGTGTGCACCAACCAACTTTGTTCCACAGATGAGCAAAGCCACTAATTGGGATTACTACTGGGCACTGCAGGTATGAACTTGGTCTGCCAAGATCCATGTACTGGTTGTTGCAAGCCTCTTCCACCTTTTCCATCACAGATTCCCAGCAGTTGAGCCCTTCAGATTCCTCTGCAATCCCTATGGGTTGAGATCGGAGCAAGGGCTCCCACAAAGTGACCCACAATGCTGGGGGGGCTGATTGCTTCCCCCACCCCCATGTTCTCTTTTTCCACTGGAGGAACTGGAGGCTCATGGGAGGCCTCTCTGCATGGTGCTGTATTAGCCTAAGGGAGGGGCAATGTCGTCAGTGTGGCCGCTTCTCTTACCCTTCTAATACAGTCTGTCTTGGTCTCTGGAGTGCAGGTGGTGCTTCAGCTCACCTCCATGTTCTAGGATTCTCTCAGTGGTATCTTGTTTACGAATAGTTGTTAGCTGTTCTTGTGAGGGAGAGAGGTCAGGAACAACTTATGTGGCCATTTGGGTGATGTCACTCCTACATAATATTTTTATTTAGAAGCTAGATCACTGGTTTATTATAATGAGGTATAACTTAGGAATAGCCAGATGGAAGAGATGCATATGGTAAAGAGCACAGAGCTTCCACGCTCTCTCCAATTGGGCCACTCTCCCGAAATTTCTGTGTGCCCACCAACCTGGAAGCTTTTATTGGGTTAACTTTGATAAAGACAGCATATGGGGAATTCTGGAGTATATCCTTGCAGGGGACGAAAAAGCCTTCTAACTCTTTGAGTTGAGGTACAATCTGTGTCTGTGTTTGATTGCAGAATGATGCTCATCCTTCTACAAGAAAGGATCCTGTCCTCCACAAATCATTTGTAGAGCTAGGAACTAGAGATGGGGTCTGTAATTTGTGGTTCCACACACATGGAAGGGCACATCATAATCAGAGGGCAAGAGGATACTTCCTTAGAGGACTACCTACCATTTAGCAAGATAAGACTTTCGCTATAGCTGGAGCTTCTCTGCTTGAAAAGCACCGTTGTATTCAATCCAGTGTTAAGATTGCATCTTGAGTGACTTCTCTGGACTCAGCCGTTAACCCTCATCGGAGCTCACCAACTCCAACCTTCTAATCCAAGGAGTTCACATTGTAGATAGCCATGATTATAATTAATGATGGAAAACCCGTGCAATTTCAGGTATCAAGAGTGGCTGAACAAAGGAGGACTGACACTCCCATGTTGAGAAATCAATGCCTGTTCAGGAGAAACTAGAGTCTTCTGCCTCTGCACTACTTCAAGCATAGGCAGCAGCCAGCTCTCAATTTCTGGCAGAAAGCATAGGAGGCCCAGGATTCTCAATCTTCTGCAGAGGTGACTATTTTTCCATAGTACCCTTGCTAGGTATAAGATATTAAAGGTAAAAGAGGCAAGAAAAGCAGTTAGGAGAGTATGGCCAACAAGATATATTTGGTTGTTTCTGACAACAAGCAATCTTGAACAAGTATGGGATAAGCCTGACATGATGATGTCATTGTGGTTTAGAAAGATGATTCATCTAATATCAATGGTTTACATAGGTTGAAGCCACGAGAGAAGACTAGAGACAAGAAAATGAGTTTCTATAAATGGAAAGAAAACAAAGACATATAGAAGTCACTAAGTCAAAAAGAGAGAAAGAACATCCACCGTCATCTAGGCTCAAAACATCTACCGTCAAGAGACTTCACTCTTCTGCAGTTAGCCCCAAAACAATATAAATTTTGGATAAGATGTATAACTTCTTTAACATTCCTTATGTTCATCCTTTTAAAAAATTTTCCACGGTTACCACTGTAATTCAGAAGTTAACTGTATTTTGCAGGAGGCGCCTAATTTTTCTACTTTGCCTAGCCCAGTGATTCTCAAAGTGTGTTCTACTGTATGAAAGGATCAATGTCGCCCGAGAACTTTAGAATTGCAACATTTCTTCTAACTAAAGTTTTTTTTTTGGCTTTCTCTCTTTCAGAACGATTAATTTCTATTGTCTATAGTCAAATAAATAAGTTTAAATTATGGTTTAGATATTCCATACTTTTCACAATCTAGTTCCTTCCTACTTTTCTATTTATTGCACTTAAACACAAATTTGCAGTATTAGCTTTGATCATCTGTTCACTATCGCCTTCCTTTTGCTACCCCATAAACACTGCCCATGAAATGTCCCTCTCATTTCATAGTGTCTTCCTTTTTTACTTTCTCTCTATCCACATATTTGTCTTCCAGAACAGAAGTAGCAACTCTCAGCATAAATGTCACCATTAGAGAGACTCCTGCTCTAGGAATGACCCCCGGCTATCCAGAAAACATGTCTACACTGTTTGACTTTGCTCCCTTAGTCATTGCAAGTGGACCCAAGACAGACATGTGGCCATCTCAAAATTTTTGGCAAATATATAACTATATCTTGTCAATAACACTGAAAAGGCTTCTAGTGATTGTATACTTGGCATCTATTCCATACAACATTCTTTTCATGAGATGTCATTATGATCAACAAGTTTCTTAATAATATGGTAATATGTATGGGGGTGGGCGGGAGGGTGGTGTCAGTGTGCGCGGTTAAATGCTGGGAGGGGTACAACTAGAACTGGTTCTGGTTCTACATTACACAGTTACTTAGTATTTTGTCTGGAAAAATTACGGAAGTTTTGGACTTTAGTTTTATTTCTGAGTAAAGAAAGGAGATTAATCCTAGAGTTCATGATCACTGGTTCTACCTCTTGAATGGGGATTATTAAGCAACCTATACTTAACCAAATTTTATATACAAACATACCTTGTTTTATTGCGCTTTGCTTTATTGTGCTTCACAGATACTGCATTTGTTATAAGACTCTCCATCAGCAGAAAGATTAAAACTGGCTGAAGGCTCAGATGATGGTTAGCATTTTTTAGCAATAAAATATTTTTTAATTAAGGTATGGACATTGTTTGTTTAGACATACTGCTATTGCGTACTTAATAGACTACAATATAGTGTAAATGTAACTTTTATACACAGTGGGGAATCAGAAGATTCCTGTGGCTCACTTTATTGAGATATTCACTTTATTGTGGTGGTCTGGAACTGAACCGATAATATCTCTGAGGTATGCCTGTATATATGCATAAATTATACTGAGGTTTCAGCTTAATATAGTGCCTGTAATAAGGAGCACCATACGTTCTATTTCCTTTTCAGCTCATCGATTTCACAAAAGGAAAGGTGTATTATGATCCTAGCATCCACTCCTGTTAGAGACTTAGGAAGCTTCCCAGAATATGATCTGCTAGTTCTCCAGTTAGGAGAGAAAAAAACACTTCATCACCTCCTTGTGTTTAAGACCAAGCTGTTTCAAAATCAATTCTCTAGTTCCCATCATAGAAACAATTCCTTTAATTAGGGTTTGCCATGTCACAGCTTCTGCTTGTTAGTCCTTTATTTCCAGCCTAAGTTTCAGAGAGAGACTAATCCACTAGGTCTTTTAATGAGTTTCCAGAATTATCTCAGACAGAGGTAATTCTCTGAGGTTAAGTAACTGAAATAGTGATTGACCTTTGTCTTCTCCTCAAATTCCGGTATAATTAATTCCTCAGCTGCTTCCACCCAGGTTGTACTATGGAGATTCATACATTTCTGACCTTGGTCCAGACTTTCTCTCTTCTTCATTAATTGACTACGAAAGTTGTTCACTTAGGAAACACCAACACCCCAAGGGAGGTTAATAAGTATATGCTTACATTGCAAACTTTCTAAAAGATAGATTGGAATAAATTCAAGGTTAGATGCATGAATGAAATTACCTTTGCTATCTGTGTACTCGATCATACAGTATATATTTCATTAACTTTTTGAATGCATAATTGTTTGAAACACTCTGCCAGTTTTTTGTTTATATTTTATCTACAGATACAACTTTAACGTGGTTTTTTTGGTGATTCTTTTGAAGTGGCTTGATTACGGCTCTGTGTACTAAAGAGTAAACATAAATTAGAGAAGTTTTTTACTGAAAATGAGATAATTATTTTACCATAATTTTCACAAATATAGAACTTAATTAAAATGGCTGGACATTAAACAGAAACTGTTAAAGAAAAATGTGTCGGGAGAAAATTGCATATGTTTACATTTAAATTATGATTTTAAAAAGAAAAAAATGAATATAATCACTGTACAAAAAATTTCGAAAGTAGAGACAAAGTAAAAATTATCCAAGCTCATCTGAATGTCTTGCCACCACTAACATTATCAGTTTAAAATTATTTTCCCCAGGTTTTTGTCATGTGTTTTATATGAATGACAATAAGACCATAGTAAACATTTACCTCTTTTTTTAATTTCTAATGTAAAAATTGGATATTCTTGAATTATATATCTTAATAGTTATAGTTTTAATTTCTATATTATGTCCCAATAGATGATGGTACCATAATTAATTATTCCCCCGTAATGAAACATTTATAGTTTTGAATTTTTCATTATTACAACACGGAAATCAAGTTTTCCAAAATGATATTTCTCTATATTTTGAATTATCTACTTAGAAGAGGGTCCAGAAGTTTTACCACAGGATTGGAAGATAAAAACATTTTTATACCAATTGCTATACATTGTCCAATTGCTTAAGAATAAAAGCTATAGGCCATTAAATTATAAATAAAAAGTCATTCCAATTTTCAATGATACCATAATTCCTATTTCATCACACACAGGCTAAGATTAACAATATTATCATTGTTATTTAATCTTTATTTAACAGAAAATATCTAATCGTTTTGATCTGTTCCTTTATCATTAGATTTTCTAATTTTTATTCAATGTTTTCCTAGTGACTAGTACTTACTTTTTAACACAGATATCTTTCACTAATTGAAAGCTTCATGTTTTTCTTATTAATATTACAAATATTTTACATAATATTGTTTTTTGTTTGTCATATTTATAGTAATTATGTTTCAGTTAGATTTTGCCTGTTTATTGCCTTTGTGTGGGAAATTAAGGGAATTAGAAATACTTTCAACTTCTAAGAAGTCAAATGTGTCTATATATTTTTTAAATTTGTATATGGTTATTATAAATAGTCACCCCCATTTTCCCTTATATACCTGCTTCCTAAATTGTATATTTTTCAATGATGAAGTTCCTACTTTGGACTGATCTTTTTATATATATTTGAATTTCCATCTGTATTAGTCAGAGTTCTCCAGAGAAACAGAATCAACAGGATGTATATATTTATTTTTATATTTATATATATTTATATATGTGTAAACAAACACACATATCAAGAGGGAGAGAGAGATTCTAAGCAATTGGCTCATGCACTTGTGGGTGATGGCAAGTTCAAAATCCTCAGGGCATCTGACCAGCAGGCTGGAAATTTTGGCAAGATTTGATATTGAAGGAGAGCAGAATATACCATACCTAAATATGCTTCTTTGTCATGAGGATTATTTTGAGCTGTTATTTTCAAGGAAGCATAGACATAGGAAAAGCTCTGGAAACCAACTAGAAGTGACCACGTTGTAAGAGATATTTACGTTTATAAAGGAAATCTCCATTTTTAAGGGTGTCACCCTCTCTTTACCAGGAAGAGGAGGAAGACCAAATCTATAGGAACTCTTATCAATGGAGAAGGCAGTGACTTAAATCTGCATAACGTTCATACCATCATTTACTGTGCTTTGTGCCTGATAAGCTCCCATAACTGACTCCCCCACCAACATCTTCTTTTGTTTTTAGCTGAAGATAATATTTAAGGTGGTAGCTTGGGCCATTTTGAGGAGTTACTCAGTTTTCCTGGGTATCTACCATGTATATGGGAAGTATACAGGTTATTAAACTTTTGTTTGTTTTTCTCCTGTTAATCTTCTGTTTATTACAGAGAGGTCTCAGCCAAGAACATAGAAGGGTAGAGGGAAAATTATTTTTCCTCCCCTACAGTTCGGTGACCCATGATGGCACCTGCTGAGACCACAAACTCACTCTCTAACCTGCAGGTGGAATCATGGCAAACTGGCAGAAGCCAGTAAAGGGTAAGAAATCTTACCAAAGTCAGCTCTTCAAATGTCTCACCCTGTAGTGTCCAGTCAAGAGAGGAAGGTAAAGTTTTAATTTTCCTCCTTTCTTTCCAAATTCAGATTAGCAGGAGAAAATATTTATGTGAAATCATTTCTTGGGTATAGCTACTCTGCTGAAGTCTGGTTCTGAGTACTTTTTCTGTTGATCTTTTTTTCTCCCAGAGATGTCCATTGTTTTCTTTTGTCTCTGTCTTTTGTGTCATTTGTCATAAGGAGAAGAATCATAGGAATGATGAGGTTTTCCTTTCATCTTGTTCTGTGTATTGAAAGCTTGGCTTTGTGACCATTGAGAACATTCTCTCTGGTCTCTGCCAGCTGGAACATGCATGTGTCAGCAGGCACCTGGCAGACAGCCAAACAGGCTGTGGATCCAGGAAGCAGCATTCTCTTTGTCCCATCATGCCAGCTCTCAGGGAAGTTCATCATATGGAGTCACAGTTCATAAGGGTCCTCTGTGGTCTCTACCTTCATTGTCTTGTTAGTGCTGGAAAAGTCCCATTCCAGCAGTGCCTTCCCAGTGTCACAGATTAGTGGGTATGTGACTGGAGGCGTCTAATATTCTTGTGGGAAACTGGAGACACTGTTTTCACTATACCATTCCGACTGCCTGTGATGATAAAGGTCTTTACTTTTTTGTATTAACTCTGCGAGTGAACTTTCTGGATTTTGTGAGAGCTGCATCTTTTGCACCCTCTTTTGGGGTGCCTCTTGTGTCCATGGTTAAGTCATAAAAAGGCTTATTTTATTGGTTTGAGTCACTACTGAGATTAATATAAGATCCTACTCATCAATGGCAAGATGGTAGATCCTTTGAGTTGGAAATACTTTTATATTTGAAAAAAATTTTTAGAGAGCTCTCATCCTAAACAACTTCTTTATGGGTACCTATAGAAAATATAATTTGAAAAATAGACACAGAGGAGTATGGAGGCTAGCCTTAGGGACTCCCTTAACA